TCCAGTCACCCTGATTAATTATCTGGGTAGCATCTGCAACTCCGTACTCTCCCTCACCTCATGTATCCAATCAGTTGCCAAATCTTATTTCCATCTGTACTACTTCTCTCCACTCACATAGCCATCATCCTAGTTCAGGTTCTTATCACCTACCTGTCTGTAGTAGCAGTAACCTTCTTTTTGGGCTTTCTGCCCATTCCAGTCCATCTTCCATATGGCTTCAAAAGTTATTTTCCTAAAGCATAGTTCTGACCATGTGACTCTCCTGATCAAGAAGCTCCAGTGGCAGCCTTTTCACTGTTGTTAAAATATAACCTCTTCTGTTTGGGATTTACAGCTCTTCATAATCTGTCCCCATCCTTCTTTTTCAGCCTCCTTACGTATTCCTCCCCACCTTGCTCTCTGTGGTCCGGCCAGACTGACTTGAAGTTCTTCATACATGACACTCCATCTCCCATTTCCCTGCCTCTGCATTAACTGTCCCCCATGCCTAGGATTCTCTTCTTCTCATATCTGCCCTGGTTTCTTTCAAGACTCATTGCAAGCCTGCCTTTTGCATGAAGATTTTCCTGGTCTTCTCTCCTCTCCCAAGCTGATAGGACCTTGTACCCAAGGTCCCAAGTTACCTTGTATCTGTTTATATATGTTTTGTACATACCCATATACATGCATATTGTTTCCTCTGTTACACTGTAATCTTCTTAAAGACAGGGATTTTCATGTTTGTCTTTGTAGCAATTAGAATAGTGCCCAGCACATGATAATAATAAATACATGTTCTTAGATTGATTGAGAGGAAGGTATCCTGAATCAGGAAAGGCTTCATATAGAAGATGGTATTTGAACCTTTTGAAAGATAAAAGAGATTTTAAGAAAGTAGAGGTAAGGAGAAAGTGCATTCCCAGCATGGGGGACAACCTATGCATAGAGACATGATATATAATATTATGTGTGAGCAAAGTAAGGAGACCAGTTTGACTAGACCAAAAAGAACACAAAGGGGAGTAAGGTAGCAGACTCCAAATTAGAAGGCTGTTGTAGCAAAACCAGTGCAGCTAAAATTAAAAGGAAAGCAGGCAACTGGGAAAACATTTTTATAGCAAGTTTCTTGGAGAAAAGTCTCATTTCTCAAATACAGAGGGAACTAAGCCAAATTTATAAAATCAAGAACCATTCTTCTATTGATAAATGAACACAGAATAAGAACAGGCAATTTTCAGGAAGAAATCAAAGCTATCAAGTCATATGAAAAAGTGCTCTAAATCACTAATTAGAAAATTATAAATTAAAACTATTCTGAGGAACCACCTCACGCTCATCAGACTGACTAACATGATAGATAGAATGACAAAATGCCCAATATGGGAAAATAGGTATACCATTGCACTGTTTGTGGAGCTGTGAACTGGTCCAACCATTTTGGAGAACAATTTGGAACTATGCCCAAAAGGTTATAATAAGACTTTGACCCAGCAATACTGCTACTAGGTCTGTACCTAAGGAGAGCAAAAAAAAAGGAAAAGGACCAATATATACAAAAATATTTATAGCAGCTCTTTTGGTGGTGGCAAAGAAAAACTGAGGAGATGCCCTTCATTTGGAGAATGGCTGAACAAGTTGTGGTATGTGATTGCAATGGAATGCTATTGTGCTGTAAGAAATGATGAAGGGAATAGTTTCAGAAAAACGTGGGAAGACATGAATGGATGTAAAGGGATTATGACAATGAATTGTGAAAAATTTAGCTACCCTGATCAATACAATTATCCATGACCATTGTAAAGGACTCGTGATGAAAAATGCTATCTACTTCCAGAGAGAGAACTGATGAACTCTGAGTGCAGAGTAAAGGATTTTAATTTTCTTTCTTTTTTTTTCCTACAGCAGGCCTAATGTATAAATATATTTTGCTTGACTTCATATGTATAATGGGTATCATATTTTTTACCTTCTCAATGGGTAGAGGAGGGGGTGAAGAGAGGGAAAGAATTTTGAACTAAAAATTTTAAAAATTTAAATGCTTTTAAAAAAGGCTATTGCAGTAGCCTAGGTGAGAGGTAGTGAGGGCCTGAACTAAAGTGGTGGCCATGGTGGAGAGAAGAAAAAAAGGAAATGAAAGATGTTATAGAAGTAAAATTGATAAGACTTGACAGTAGGAGAATGAGAAATCTTAAAGACTGTCCTCTAAAAAGGTACCTCCTATGCATCTGTCAAAATCATAAATGATTCCATGAAAGATTAGACAACCTTCTGATTATTAATATCAAACAAGGTATAAATCAGAAAGACATTTACTCAATATATTTATCACTGTTGTGGGATGATATCTAGCACAAAGTCTAAAACAAAGAAGAATTCACTTTAGTATGAGCTTTAAAAAAAAAGATAGGGGCTTTAACAGTGAGAATGAGGGATAACTGATGAAGAGTTTACCTGCTCCATTGGTATCTACGTAATATCAAGAAAGTGTTAGGAAAGCCACCGACTCTGGTGGTTTTATGGGGGGACATGGATAAGAATTGAATAGGCTAAGAAGATTGTGAATAGGTTTTGATGGGCATCACCGGAGGGAGTAACCGCACCCATGAGATCAGGCTCCTTTGCTGCAGGTACTAGACTGTCAGGAAGCGACAGAGATAAGGAAGATATGGTCTACATCTTCAAGAAACTTTAACATCTAGTAAATATTTAAGAAAAAGAAAAAAACCTCTGCATGTCAAAAAGAAAGTGACACTATATTAAGTACACAACAGAACTTTCCTGTTTCAGGGATCTGTAGTTTTGTTAGTTTGGATACTTCTTTCCTTCAAGCAGATTTCAACCTCTCTGTAATTTGGCCTTTGAGAGTTGAATTCAAGTCACTAAGTATTTATTAAGTGCCTAGTGTGTGCTAGGCAGTGAGTATGCAAAGACAAAAATGGAAACAGCCTTTTCCCTGAGGGAACTTGCCTTCTACTAGAGTTCCTGTGGCTGAAAAAAGTCAGCCTGGTGATGAATTTCTCTTGACTGAATTAGGCCAGTCCTCAGACAAAATATTCATTCTGTCTATCAGGATGTAGATCTGTTCTCAAAATGTTTCCTAAGGTCTTCAAAGGATAATTTGAATGTATCTGTATGCTGCTGCTGACCTTGGTAGCCAAAAATAAAATAAGTGACCTTCTCTTTCTGTCACTATTTCTTCTCTCCCCCTCACTTTCATCCTCACCCTCAGCCCAGTGAAACATGGAATGTGTAGCATGCAAGTAAAGCAACCCATATATTTGAATCTGCTGTTTGGTAAAAATAATATTTTAAAATATTAAGGAAGTAGAATTTGTTATTGTCTAAGAGAGTGAGGAATTGATGATTTTTACTGAATTTTTACAAACTTTCTTTCTCTAGCTTTGGAGTTAAATTTCAAGAGCTGAAGGTTGTCATCATAGAATTCTGATATTATTTTAGATGCATTTCTTGATTTTTTGGAGCCAAGTGTAAAGGCAGACCTCCAGTTATAAATGTAACTGGAAAATAGCCTTCTGGGAGAGCTTTTGATTTGCATGAAATGATTTAATTGAGCCATCAGCCGGGAGAGATAGCAGCATGCTCCCCAGCATGTCTCAGGTAGAATTATTAGACCTAACTGAAGGCAGAGTGATTTTACCACCTTAGCTTCACAGTAATTGCTGTGAAATGTACTGCCTGGAGTATCTTCCTGCTTCATTGCAAAATTCAGGTTTTTAATCCACTATTTTCCTTTATGTCTTGTTTCTATATAGTTGCTTCCATTGGAAAGAATAATAGGAAACGTTTTATCGCATTGGAAACTGACAAATTTGTTCAAAATGCTAAAATTGAATTTCCCCACCCACCCTCTGTAACACAAGCTTAGACTGCACAGTTGAATTTCATAGAGGCAAAGTATTTGAAGATTCTTCTGAAAAGAGTACACTTTCCAGTTTTAAAAACTGATTATATGGGCATTTAGTAATGCGATTAAAGAATCATAAAAGCATGTCTAGTAAAAGTTCAGTTTCAACAAAGGATATCAGTGGAATACACATTTAAATAGTAAACATTTTGACAGATTTATATACTTTTGACTTCACTTTCTAAGATTTTGTTTATAAAATAAAATATATGCCACTTCTTTTGCCCTCTTTTTAAGAAATGGCACAGAGGAAGTTACATCGTTTGTTTTCTAGAAAGTAAATTCTTTTTATTTTATTAAAGCATGCTTTGAAGTAAGTCATATAATATTATCTATCATTCATCTTTACCATGTCAAATTAATATATGGACAGATTATGAAAAATTCTCCTTTTATAACAGGTTTTCCTATGATCTATTTTAAATAGCTTTTTTTTGCCCAGAAGAGATTTTTTTCATTTTAGAAATAGAATAATTCATAGACTTGATATAAATGCAACAGAACTTGCTAGTGTTTATTTGAAATTGAAGTCAAATCTACTGTTTTATCATTTATCCCATGCTAGTTATGAAAATGAATGAAAATGAGATTCCATATATTTTTATATATGTAATGATAGAATATATAATGTAATAGTTTAATTACAATGTAAAATGTATCGCTACATTACATATAGATATAAATATGTAGCACATTTCATCCCTTCCTTTCTGGGTCAGGTTTATATTCAGATTAGACTGTTGGATAAAAGGTACACACATGTATTTTTCTTTCTCTTTTAAACTGAAAATTTCCTTTTTGTGTTTGTTCTGTTAAATCTTTTTGTTTAAAAAAAAGAAACTTTTATTAGTTACATTACTCCTAATAAGTTTATCTTCTAGGGAGGAGAATATATATATTCCAAGTAACTTATCTAAAAGCCATTCTAATCAATATTAGAGAAATGCAAACCTACCTAATTGAGTCTTGATACCAGGCATGGATGAGCTATAGTTAAAAAGCCATCACTGAAGAAAACCGTGAAGCTGTCTACTTTGGGAGTGATCCTCCATGCCACCAAACTCACTCTCCCCATGGCCATTCACTTCCCCAGGTGTATAAAAAGAAAGTCGCTGTGAAATTGGGAGACTTCAATCACAGAGTGACCAAGCAAGAGGAGGACTTTGCTGAGAAGAGTGATCAGTACCAGCGAGAGATGAGGCACCTCCAGCAGCTGCTGAGAGACAAGCAGGAGACTCTGGAAGAAGTGCTTCAACAGAAAAGGTAAAGCCAGCCGTCCCTCCTGGTGAGCTGACTGAGCGTGCCCTGGGGGCAGGGAGGAAGGTCAGCATTGGCACAGCTTCTGCAGCCCCTGCTTGCCAGGAGCCTCCCATCTGACAGCTTCAATGCTTTCTTAGGGCTGTGTCCGCTAAAAAACCTCTGCTCCCTTTCCTCTTCCCTGGCCTCCCTCCTCCATCTCCCAAGGTAATACAATCCTTTAAGGGAGTGGCTTAGAAATAGCAGCTCTTTAAAATATGATAAAGTGCTTCAAAATAGAGAAAAAAGGTGATTTGATATGGAGAAGAATCCAGGTCACACATTTGGAAGGTATAGTATGTCAGGAGATCACTGGAAATCCTAGTAATGTAATAAACTCTCTCCTGAAAACTGGTGTAGTCACTTCATCTGAATTTTCAGACAAGTGATAACTAAAAGCATTTGGATTAACAAGTTTTGCTGACCAGGGTTAGTTGGATCCATTTTTGGTTTAAGAAATTGACATTGTCAAGGTATTGTATTAACTACTAATGTAGATTGTCAGAAACCCAGGCATAAATGGAAAACAAAAACAGTTCAGAAGCAGCCCTAGATAGGTTTTGATAATTAATCCTGGACATGCCCTGTAAATAGAAATAGTTCCTTGAAGAGACCTTCCCTCTGGTTTAAGCTTTAGTGGTACATTTCTCTTGCCACCAAACAGTAACTCTGAGAGAGTTAATTAAGCAGTCATTTTGTAAATCATACTACCTGTTGGAAAATAATTATTTATAAATTTATGGGAACTTAACAGCAGAGAACAAATCTATTTGCATCTGTGATAGCTGCTCTCCTGTATAGGATACATAGTACTCTGGACTCTGACTAAACAGTCAGTACTTTCCCAATCAGCATAATCTTTTCAAATTTTTAGAAATTTATCAAGCAGTATTTTTTAATTAACTGAATAAAAAACTTATACTTAAATCTTTGTGCAGCAACTATATGGTGTCAGGATGGAAGCTTCTGAGTTGATTTAATAATCTACCTGTTCCTCTTCATAGCGTGATTTCATTGGGAATCTGATGATTAAGCAACCTAGAAGTGTCATAAGCTGCAGCATCTAGGACAGTTGACCTTAACCTGCTATCAAAGTGGCATGTGCTTTGAGTCCTCTTTCTAGGAGTGGAGTTATTAGATTTCTACTCATATATCTGTGTTCCTTTTCTTCATCATCAACTGTTTGAACCATTCACTATGACATTCTGGGCTGCCCTCAGAGGAATCACAGTCAGTCTAGTTGGGGAGATCGGACATACACATAAAGAGACAACTCACAGTACAGGGCAGCATATCCATAATACTCCAGGAATTCAGAATAGAGAGCACTCTTCAGGAATAGCCTCTTCCTTGGTTCTCATTAAAACCAGCAGTTGTGTGTACTTATGCAGCAGCTGACTGAGCCTTAGGATGTGCTCTGTGACCATGGAGTCAAAGAAGAACTTTCTGGCCTGCCCCACATAGACATTAATTAAGATCCCTGCGCCCCCCCCAATTCACCTCATTTAGTGAAGTACTAACCAGCCAGAGATTCTTAAATTGTCAGAGGTAGAAATAAGTGGCCCTAAAAAAATAAACATCCTTATGTTTTATGTCTAATGAAAGACAAAAATTTTCATTTATTAGACTTATCTTTTGTGGACACATCTTAACATGTAATCTATTTTGCATTAAATCTTCTTTGCTTGATAGACACCTTCAGAGAGCTCTCGTTGCTTTTCTAGCCATTTGGGGCTATTTGTACAACAGACTTCAGCTTTGATATCATCCATAATGCCTGTCTTCTCTGATGGATAGTGTCATTTATATCTTTATCTTTTTGAAATAGTAAGAGGTGCTGAAGCTACAGGTGCAATAGTTATCTACTAAATAAATAAAAGATGAAGGCTGTCTAGGGAAAGTTGTGTAGTTTGTCAAAATGAACCTGACAGTTATCTTGTATTACTCACATCTTGCATTAAGCAGCCCTTTTCACTATGCCAGTATTGCAACTGACCATACCTGAATTGGAAGTATTGCTGGTTTATATTGCAATATCAAATAGTGTATATAGATGACAGAAAATTCACTGGCTTCAATTTCTCCATCCTACATGACTGTTTAATTTTCTGTTCTTTGAGGTTTATTCTAAGTCTCTAACATCTCTTGATTTTTCCATTTAGACTAATGCACAAAAGTGACCATAAAACCTTTTTCCTTAAAGTAATTCATTAAATATTGATTAGGTAGACAGCTTTATAATGCAACGATAATTTGAAAATTAAGTACAGTTCCCAAGGTTATAGAACTTATATTCATCTCCTAAGCCTTTTTAAAAAATTCAGTAGCTGCAGATTTTTCTGGCTCTAATTGTTGTCTCCCAAAACAGATCAATCAATAATCTAGTTTCTCTAAAATTATTTTAATAATCCACCTTCCAGAAATTGTTTAAAAAAAAAAAGACTCTCCTGTATTTAGTAAGCTCTGTGAATGTCTGTCCTCATGAAATTTTTCCTGTCTCTATTTTGGTCCCCACTGTTAAGAAAAAAGAGGTTAGAGAAGTTATTGTTAGAAGTTACAGTTACTAATCATGTGTGGCTTGGCAACCATCAACTTGGTTTTGGGTTAGTACTGTAATTATGTAGATTTGCAACTCAGAAAAAAAGTGTTGTCAGCAGAAAACAGATTTAAATAATGTACCTCATGGTTTGGTAGTAATGTTAGAAATGAAGGACAAGCCTTTTTTAAACACTTCAAATTTTATCACAATACATTTAAATTAGAGTTTAATTTATTGTAAATTTTAAGTCATGATTATATAATTATATTAAAGAGTAGAGTATGGGAAAGAGGGAAGTAGTTCGTTCAACAAATGTGACTTAATATTGTATATCTACTAGCTGAAGTTAAGGAAAGCTCCAGACTGGTTGATTACATTAGTACTTTTAGATACCTCACAGAATCCTTGTGAAGAAAACACTGTAAGCTTTAAGACAATATGTAAATATAAATATTATTATATTATATATAATTATATGTTATTAAAATTGTACAAACAGAAACAAAATTACTTAACAATCCTCCAAACATATTCATTTGGATTTGACTTACCCAACCAGAGTGAGTGAGGAGATAGTATTTTCCAATGACATCGTACTTTTTTTGGTTTGGACTTGTGATTTTATTGGTGTAAAGAGCTTCTCTGAGAGACTCCCTCTACCAATCCAGAATTGAAACTTACATTCATACAGACAGTGTCTTGCCCAGAGCCACAAAGCAATGTGACTGTTTTTTTTTAATATCCTTTCTCAGATCTGTGTGACCAAGTGCCACAGTTTAGTCCCAACTTTGAATTCTTTACTTTTATGCTTGGTCCTATCTTTCCAAAAGAGTCCTCAACTCTTATCACCTTCATATACACCTCAACTCCTCTCTCTTTATCTTCCTCTCAGCATCATTTAGAGATAAGTCTGGTTGTTCAGCAAGCCATCTTCTGATACATGGAAGAACTTGACCTTCAGCTAGATTGATGAAACATTTTAATGATTAACACCATGGAGGGGGGACGACTAGCTAGATGAAACCTTTTAGAAATCGGAAATTAACTTTATGCCTGGTAAATGGTGACTTTTCCCCCAGTGTTTTGGATTTTCTTACATCATAGTATGTATGACTTCATTTTAGAATGTACTAAGTGCTTTCTGTGTTCAGGGTATCATGGTAGATGCTGGGGGTGTAAAGATGAAAAATGACACAGCCTTTACCTTTATGGAGTTGATAATCTCATGGAACAATGAGATGTGTGTCCTGATAGCTGTAAACCAAGTTAGAAAATCTCAGGAGATTTGAGAAGAGAAGGGTTTCGCCAGGGTGACTAGAAATAGGGTTGTAGAAATAGTAACATCGAATCTGCGTCTTAAATTAAGAGAAGGGCTTCAGTAGGTATACAGTAGGTTGATGAATCTGTGTGAATGCAAAAGCAGGGAGAAGGTGAGGTGAGTCATGGAACATCAAGTTGCCTCCTCTGGGTAGAGGGTAAAGCGTGCTAAGGGAGTGCTGTGCAGTGATGCTGTGAAGGTGAATTGAAGCCACATCATAGACGGCCATGTAGGCCAAGCTAAGGAATCTGTATTTTATCCTTTAGGCAGTGAGGCAACTTTTGAGCAGATGACATGATCCAATCATGTAGGATTGTTTTTGTTTTGTTTTAACACTTGCAGAGGTTATGTAGAATTTTGTCCGTTATTATATGAGTTTTTAAAACTAAGTCTCTTGGATTTCAGTTACTAATTAAAGAATAATTTTTTTTTTTGAGAAGTGACTTACTCAGCTGGAACATCAAAGAGGTATAAAACTTAAGGCTCCAAGAAGGGACTCTATTACAATTTTATCTATAGGGTCAGAGCAGTGACTTTTAGAATACTAACATCCTTTAAGGTACTATTTAAAATATTTGTGATTAGGTACTATTACTTCTTAGGTACAATGATAAAACTTTAAAATCCTGCTTGGAAGCTCTGATGGTTTTTGAAACATATTTTGAGTTCAAAGCTATTTATAGTGAATGAACCACATATTTCTTAGACAGAGAAGGTAAAAATGACTAAGTTACTAATCTTGATAGGCTTTTTTTCTTTCCTTCAGCTCTCCATCCACTCCATGGGGGCATCATCATTATAGAAGCATGTATCATTACTCCTAAAGTTGGAAGGGTACTAGGGGCCATGTAGTTCACCTTCCTCTTTTTACAGATGGAAGTTAAGGGATTTGTCCTCAATCAGAGAAGCAGTAGGCTTAAGAGGCAGATTCTGAACACGGATCGACTCCTTAGATAGTATCTATCTATTCTACCATGATAACCCATCCTTTAAAGCCCATTACAAATGCCATCTCCTCCAAGAGACCTTCCCCGATCCCTACTTCTTAGAAACATTCCCCCTCCAATTAACCGTAATCACCCAGTATTTATTAAATACCTTCTCTTGTGC